ACGAAGGCAGCGGATATTAAATTCCATCGGCAAACGTGGAATTCCCGTGTACGCGCCACTTCCGTGTTCCGACTTTTGTTTGCGACCGCCGGACTCAGCCGACGACGAAAACCACGACTGTTGCGCGAGTACGCGCGAAAAACGAAGCTCGTTCGCAAAGGAGAGACGGGGCCCGGCACCGGTCAAAGCACCGTCTACTAGGGAATCTACCGGGTCTCTCAGGAATAAGAATTCCAAAATTCCTTCATGTACACGTGAGAATTTCAACGTCCTTTCCGAGTATTCGCGCCTGTTTCGAATCGAAAATTTCAAGAAGCGACTAATTAGGAAATTTCTCGGTTCTCTGACAAACAGGAATTCCAAAATTCCTTCACGTACGAGTGAGAATTTCAACGTCCTTTTCACGTATTCGTGCCTGTTTCGAAACGAAAATTTCGAAAAGCTAGTATTGCCAAATTTATCGGTTCTTCGACAAATAAGAATTCCGAAATTCCTACATCCACGCGCGGGAATTTCAACGTCCGTTCCAAGTATTCGCGCCTGTTTCGAAACGAAAATTTCAAGAAGCGACTAACTAGGAAATTTCTCGGTTCTCCCAGGAATAAGAATTTCAAAATTCCTTCATATACGCGTGAGAATTTCAACATCCTTTCCACGTATTCGCGTCTATTTTAAAACGAAAATTTCGAGAGTCGAATACTAGAAAGTCTATCGGTACTCCGACAAATAAAAATTCCAAAATTCCTTCGTGCACTCGCGAGAATTTCGAACGTTTTCCTTTCCAAGTTTTCCAAATTTTGTTTCTTTCAAATTTTCGCGCGCATTTCGACACGAAAATCTTTCTGCTTTCTGCGTGAATTCCCGAATATTCCTTTCCCTCGACTCTCAGAAAATTACTAATCTAACTAGGATAGTAATTTTATCCAGTTTTAAAATTTCGAATCATAGTATCCCGTCGATTTCCTTATTCCTTTTCCTCTATCTTACAAAATCTTCGAATCTTTCGCGTCGCTTTCGCCGGCTGAATCCTCGCGGATGCTGCGAGATGAACCTGGCAATAAAATAGGTCGAAATAGCAGGTTCGCGGAGTGCGCTAATAATTTTTACCGCGCGGCGCGTTACGTCTGAGTTGAAATAAAAACGAGGAACGATAAACTATACTGCCGAGGCCGGCACGCGAATGGCCGAGCTGTATTTTTTACGCTCGGAGGAGTCGAAGGCGGAGACGATGAAACGTTAAAACCGGTCCGTGGCCCCGACCTCGTCTCTTTCGAAAAATAAAACCGCGTCGCGGGAACGATTAATAGTACGATTTCTCTCGGTTTCTCGCTCCTCTCTCTCTCTCTCTCTCCCTCTCTCTCTCTCTCTTCTTTATTCCTCTCTTCTTAGATGGATCGATGGCGGCGCGATTTTCGCGTGTCCCTGGATTTCATGTTATTACAAACTGTACAAAGTGTCTTGCCGCGCGATATTCTCGCTACAATGGAAACGATTGGCTCGATGAATTCTCTTAACCCTCGTCGCTTAACCCTCAACGATCTTCGATATAATATTTATATTATATTTATATATATATTTATTTATACGCGCCTCTGTCTCTTTCTCTCCGCTCGGTCACTCTCGCACTCGCTCAGCCCGCTCACACAACACACGAGGCTCTTCCCGCAAACGGAAACGTTCGGAGAGCATTACGCGAGAGATATGTACCATTTGGAAACATCAACGAAGCGATAAAGCTGCCCCGTTCGGGTTCAGGTTCGAGCAATTTTTCAGCTCGATGGCGCGCCCCTTCGCGCCCCTCGCCAGAATAAACGTTATCCCATTGAAACGAACGATATGTCAATGATACGTGATATTCGATCCTTAATTAATAATATATTCGCTCTATCGGATAATCGATAATTTCAATTTCGATAATTAATCGCGCGAAAGGAGCCCGCTTTTTCTCCGCTCTATTGATCGAACGTGAATCGAACAGGAAGCGTCATAAATTCAAATAAATTCGTATAAACGAGGAATCAGCGATGAAAGAAGATCGGGCTGAAACGAAGGAGATAATAGTCGCGTGGATAATCGAGAAAGGAGAAGAAAGAAAAGTGAGGAAGAAATTGGTAAAAATTCTCTGTTCGATTCCCACGATCCGATCAATTCCTCCAATTCTCTACTCTTCCCGTTCAATTTGTAGCCAGGTCTGCGCACCTGTCGTTCGTTCGATCGCGCAGAAGACGATCCACGAAGTCGAATTAAAATTCCCCACCGATATAATTCGTTAAGCTCGTCAAAGTGGATATGTACATCGATCCTCTTGCCACGCGACTCCTCGAGTTCTGCGCGATCGATCGAGGATTCTCCTCGTCTCCTAACGCTCCTCGTCCCTTTATTGTTCCTCCATTATTGTTTCTCGCAACGCTTATTAATCTTAATCGTGACTCGGAGCGAGTGGAACGAAAAATTCCACCGCTCCTCGTCGCAGGGAAATTCGAAGATTTCGCGATACAGTTTCCCGGTAATACAATGGCAGTAGTTCTTAGTGTCGTCGATCTTAATTTAGATTACTATTATAAATTACCAACGTCGCGTCATAGACGATATCATAGACTTTTCATACTCAAAATGCAACCCCTCTCTCCCTCGATTAATTCCAACGGCGCCGAGGGTGGCTTCCGCGCGGCAGGGGCCATGCTCGTTTTCTAATTTCTCTCCCGATAAACCGATCCTTTATCGTTCTTTTCCTCTTCGCGCTCTACGTACATACAGAAAGGATAACAAATAATTGCCCCGATCGATGGTCCCCTTACCGCGAGCCACTTTCGGTCGCGTGCACATTTATCACTTACATTTCCTACGGCGATTTATATTTCGCAGGCCACCGGAGTGACTGCTTTAGCTGAGTAACGTTATAAATTTCAGAACAACGCGTGGATTTATCGCGCGATCTAGCGTCCCCGTACGCCACCATTCCAGCGTTCATCGGGAAAATTTCTTTATTATTATCCTACCCCTTTGTCACCGTCTGCTATTAAATGTCGCCTGCGAATTCGCTCTAACAATTATAAATTTTCTCATTGTTCCACGTTGTTCACGGTCCACGTATCCGATAAACGTTTGCTCGTTACTCGCGTATACTCCTATCGCGTGTCTCTATGCTACCCCTTGAAAGCCGAGCGGCAGAGAAATAAAGAATACCGATGATGATAGATAATAATCGAAATTTGTCTAATGGCATAATGTTGGAAGAAAATTCGAGAACATTATGGCGAATGCGGTATTGGCGAGTAAATAAAAGAAGAGGGGAAACGTCAGCGGTTACGGAATGCAAAATCGATGGCGGATTATTCGCAAGAACCCTTCTCGATCCTGGATCATCGGGTAAAAATTCGGCCGTAAAAGACGAGCAATGGCGTATCCAGCGGGTAAATGGACCGTGTCTATTCCTTCCTATAAACGTAACTTCAGGTCACGCGAGCTTCTCTCTCCTTCTTTTAACCACCCTCGCATCCACCCTCTCTTTCGTTCTTGCCCCGCGGAACGACCACGTCGAATCGATAGATCGAACGATGGCGGGAAACGACGCCGCGCGACCGCCGAGGGGAATGCAAGCTCTCTAATCAATTTTACTCTATCGGTTAAACCCTTTAACATCTCTTTACACGCTATATTTATATATTTATATTTATATATATATACGAACTTTTTTGTTTCTTTATACTTGCAACCTCTAGTGGTATTGTCAAACATTTATGCACTCTGGCTAAGCGCATCTTAAGCTTATTAGTAGTTTCAGGGAACTTAAACGTAAGCCAGCGGCTCAGGAATTCCTTTCACCCCCATTGTATCCCTCTCTTAAGACGAGCCCAGCTGAACACTCTATCTCCGAATCTTCGGCAAACTCGATCGGTAATCTCGCGCCTCGATTTAATCTCGACGCAAGTTCCCCGAATTTCTCCTTCCTCGATCGCCGGCCAGCGAAGTCTCGTCGAAAAAGCACCGAGTAGGCTTACCTTACATTTATGCTTTCCATTTCGACCCGATCGATAAACCGGAAGTGTCCTCCGAGACGGACCCCCTCCGCGAAGTACGAGTCGCGATACGGCGGAAAGTCGATCGATCCTCGCGTGTCGGTGATCACTCGACGCGATAGGAATTATCACACGAGGTGAAGACAGGGAAGCTGTTACCCGATTTATCGAATCGAAACGATCGACCATCCATCGACCATCTTGGTTGGAAGTTCCGATGGCGCTCGATCTTCTCGGCCATCTTCGTAACTTTGCCAACTCTGGAAGCGGTTACTCGATCACACCGGGGGTAGAAATCGCGGCGAATGGGAACGCGCACGGACGCTAAGAGAGGAGGATAAGAGTTTCCGGGAATGATTCGCCACGGTGGAAGCGTTTGTCGTATCTTGCGCGATTTTCCAAAGTCCGGGCCACGTGTATTCTGAACGTGACGCGAGTGCCGTTGCGGCGGGTGTCATAAGCTTGTTTGCTGACAGTATCAATTTCAGAACAGCGTGTGTGCGATTTATCGAACGTGCTTTCCGCCCATTGGCCCGCGCCGGGAACGTTCCATTTCGTATCGGACGTCGCGACGGCTGGGACCGTCCTCCGGATGATTTCACGCGGGTAGAGTGCTCGTTCGTCGTGCTTCGCGATCGCGAATCTGTCCTCTCGTTTCGAGGCCGAGGAAAAATCGGCGAGCGCTTCGGAGAAAGAAAGACGGGAAATTCGTGGACACCGATCGAAATCAGACTATTCGGCGAACGCGGTTGAAAGAGTGGAAACGTGCAGTTTCCAAATTGACTTGGATCGTCGATAGAGGGACGAAGATCCTCGATCACCGGGTGATCGACCATTTAATTTACCTTCGTATCCGACGATTCGTCGCCTGGAACTCGATGGATCAGCTTGGTGTACTAACTTGGTCTGACTTGGTGTAGCTTGGTCGTGGATGGGCAGTTCCACCAGTTCCCGTTCAGCTCGCCGATCATAGAAAGCCGGATGAGGTTCCAGCCTTCTAGTTCTCTGTATCAGGTGTCGTTCGTGTCGGCGTGCTTGTAGCCGAGGTTTTTCCGCTGCAGGAACATGTGGATCTCGCGGAAGCTCGGCCTGTCCACGTCGTTCCGGTGCCAGCACTCTCGCATCAGCTCGTAGATGTCCTTGGGGCAGTTCTTTGGCAACGATAGAATAATCTGCAACGATAATCATAGTCCGATCCAATCTATCGCGTAGTCAAAAAATTTGTTAATTTTAAATAACAGCCTGGCTTTCACCGGCCTTTACAAAATTGCCAAGTAAAATGCGGAGGGTCGAGTCGTAGCTCGAAGTTTGGTTAAAATTCGGTCGTTTATTTAGTTGGAGAACAGTGAGAGACATGGTCCATTGATGCCACTGAATGGGAATAATTATATGGCGGGGAAAAGTTGGAAGAATCGGGAAAGAGGATCGAAGAGGTTGAATGGCGGCATTCATCGCGATGAAGAAGGTATAAAGGGTATTTAACGATGCTCGTGGTTTTCATTAGAGCAGGTGTATCGGAGAGGAAGGTATCGCGGGGTACTTACCCTTCTATCGTCCTCCTGGTAAAAATAAGTCGCGTTCTCGACGATGCGATGATCCGGCAGCTCCTCGAACGGTTGCTCCCTCGCGAAGCTCAGGATCTCCCAGAGCGTCACGGCGAAGGACCAGACGTCGCTCTTCGACGTGTGTCTTCCCTGGATGTGTGCATAGTCAGTGATCGTTAAACGCGCGATTATCGATATATTTTCAAAATCCAAACATCCATCATCGTGTCGTCGAAAAAGCTTCGCACGCGAAAAAATAAAAAAAAAAAAATAAAAAAAAAAAGAAAACAGGGAAAAAATACAGCGTATAGGGTAATATGGAAAAGCGAGTGACATGTCGAATGGTTCGAAAGGCAAATGGAACGAACGATCGATTTAATTTTTAATTGCCGTTGATTTGTTCGACGAAAATGGAAAAAATACACCGCGTTACGCGACGAACGACGAATTTTCTCGACAGCCTGTCGCGTAAATGCTATTCGAAGTTGAAATCTATTTACGAGGCAGCGAGCCCGCCAGGTGGTATCGCTGCCTCGCGAGAAATTACTGCAACTTAAGTGCTTCGGTTACGCAATTTCACGGAACTACTCCATCTTAAGGGAACGCCGTGTGCGCCGGCAGCCAGTTTACGGATCACGCGTGTACCGGAAGTCTTATGACTACGCGGTGAGCAGACGCGCGTGCGCGGGACGCGATACATCGGACAGGATCGTTAAAACAATCGTTACGCCGATTAATGCGTCGCGTAATTAGCCGCTGACGCGGCGGTGTAATTAAAAGTTTAAACGGGCATCGGGATCGTTGGGCGAATCAACGAGAGCTTAATTTTTCATCGGAGCTTCGTTATCGCGACGAGCTTGCATACATTAAACTCTGCCGAAATTATAATTTCCGCTCATTCGTTTATAATTTCACGCCGGATTAACGCTGCTTAATTCGCCTGTTTGTACGTTAAAAACAGATAATTTACAAATTTACAAGCTCCCGACCAGCTCGCTCTCGGCTAGCCAGAAATTATTATTAAGATCGATTAATCTTCCTGTTCCCTCCCGCGGAGAACCACGAGCCAATCAAGTTCCCCTACCATCTTACTAGACAGCCTTCGATCATCCTTCCATCATGCTATCTTCCGTCGAACATCGTGGTAGATCGTTTCGTGGATCGTTACTTAACCACCCCGCAAACCTCTAACTTATAAGGCACAGGTGTAGAACACGCAGTCCCCGAAGCTTGAACTTCAAATTAATTTTGCTAAAATGACTAAATACAATTTTCCCCCCAAATATTTATATATTGTAGTATCGCGAATTTTCCACCGTGGACGCGTAGCTTTACGAAGGAGCAAGGCCCAGATCAATCGGGAAAAATCCTGGGCCATACCCAATTTCGGACCATATTTGGTCATGTTAAGGGAGGCATTGAAAAACGTGTGCATGGTGGAAAAAATATATAAAGAAGATTAAGAGTGGTCGGAGGACAATTTTAATCGTAGACAATTAGTTGTTACAAATTGAGTTGTCATTCAGTTGTGAAGTTGAACGCTGTATTAACCCTCTGCACTCGAGAGGCCCCCTTCAGTCGCCATTGGATAAAATTTCGAAGATCAATATTAATTAATATGTCACATTTAAGATATAGAAATCAAATAGTTCTTCATGTTAATTATTATACAATTTCTTATTTACTGCTGGAAAAAGATATCGTCAGCTTTATAGCAGAAGATCTTTAAACTCCTACTCATCTTCAGCCAAAAAATGGTAGAGTGCAAAGGGGGGGTAAGTTGAGAATTCGTCTAGATTCTTGTAAAGAGTTAATTCGTATGCTTAATTCGTACACAGTTATAATTTAATAATAAATTACGATCACCGTCAATCTCTACAATATATATATGTAGGATTGCAATAAGTACGGCCCTGAAAGAATGTCAAGTGTATCTGTGCTTAGAATGAAAGTGACCGTGTGCAAGAGGATTGACTGCAAAGAATATTTATGGTAGAGTCGAGTGAAAGTTTAGGGATGCGTCCAGAGTGGCCAATCCATTTTAGCCAATCCACTGGTGGTGGTAATTTATTAATAAAATATATAGTTTAGAATAAAATAACATCTCTTATTCTTTATATTTGTTAATCAAACAGATTGACGAATACACATACACGCGTTTAAATTTCAAACAGGTCACCGTAGATCCGGCTATTATCATCCGAGGATTGACCACTAACAATATTCTACAGATAGGTTTTTAGCAATTGCCAAAAGGAATATTCCGAGACCAGTCCTCTTCACAGGATTAGTGGTTCGTTAGACAGTAAGGACATTCGTCTTATCTTATATATATATACAGTGGGCCCTCGACTTTCGCACATAATTCGTTCCTGAAAGTGTGTGCGAATGTTGAATGTTCGAAAGTAGAGGGATGTAAAAAATATGCACCAAAAACTGTGTTTTAAAGTATTTATTTATCAATATGTATACATAATGAAGTTAAAGAGGCGTGTTAAGTGCTTTCATTTGGATTAAAATGCGCATTAGGCCCCGCAAATTTTGTTTGAACCCGGCCCGCAAAAAGCTGCGCCGGCCCTGGTCTGATGGCTAGTCTGATGTCCCCTGAGAGGGTACATCCGACCGCAGAGGATTAAAAAGTTGAATTTCTAAAAATGTGCAAAATAGCGAATTGTGCGAAAGTCGAGGGCCGCCTGTATATAATTTTATCGTACATAGTACATATATATAGAACATTAGTATTTGGTACTACGTACAATAAAATTATAAAACACGATCCCTGTAAATTCTTCAGGGAAGAAATAAATACGAAATCTGGATTATTTTCTTCTTCTTGTCTATCATATCTTTGTCGGTAAATTTTTCCACATTTTCGTACGAATTTTTCTCTTCTCGCGTGCATCTTTCAACCGAAAAGCTCGGAAAACGCAGGAGTCTCGACGCGTGCACGCATTAACTTTAACGCGAACGGTTGGAGTGCGAGCGGAGGTCGACTGTCGTAAAGTTTACGACGGCCAATCGCGGGACATTAGTTCGCGCCGGCGTTCAACTTAATAAAGTCGAACGTTAAATCATTAAATCGACGCTAATGCCGTATAATTCTCGGGATGGCGTTTCGTGGGCCCGCGCACGCGCGCCGGCGAACGCACGCAACCCTGAGCTCGTTTCATTAACGCGGGCACAATGGCGTAGGACGGATAAACGATGGCAATAATGAAACATTAACGACGCAGTCAATTCGAAATGACTACGTGAACGACCGGCAAAATACTATATCGTCCGCTCGTTTCCCATTTAGTCGAATTACCATTTAGCTATCAATTTGCTCCTGCACGGATTTCATTCATACGCGATTTCCGATGCTAATGGGTCCGTGTTGATGGGTCGATCGAAGCTACTAGAACCCGTGCAACTCGCGACAAGACGAACGTCCTTACTGTCTAACGAACCAGCAATCCTGTCAAGAGGACTGGTCTCGGAATATTCCTTTTGGCAATTGTTAAAAACGTATATGTAGGATATTGTTGGCGGTCAATCCTCGGTTGACGATGGCCGGGTCTGTGCTGTATATCTAGGGATACTGTTTGATGGGCAAATATAAAGAATAAGAGATGTATATTTTATACTTTACTTCTAGTTGGAAAGGTATCAATACTATTTGTAGTATCGCAGAATTTCCACCTCGTGTATTGGTGACTTTAGTTTGGAAAGTCGCCGAGGGTTCCAGGGTCAGGTCGTTCGGAAAAACCCCGGCGATGCGTCAGGCCCTTAGCATGACCATATTTGGTCATGTTGGGGGAGGTTTTTGAGGAATATATATAAGAAGGCGATAATGGTTGGCGGACGATTCTTGAGAGACAGTTATGGTGGGTCAGTGATGTTGTAATTGTGTTGTTAGTTGTAATTGTAAGAGTTTATATATATATTCGTAGTCTTTACCGTAGCCGCACATTGTATTATTATTATTTTATTTCTAATAAATAGTTTTCTATTATTTAAGAACCACCCTGTCTCTACGCTATTGTCACATTTCCTTCTTTAAATATTTCAAATTTCAAATGGGCACTTTGCTAAATGTATTACTTCGTCCATTTAATTCCTGCATTTATATTTGCATTTGAAGATGCACGTATCTTCAGCGAAACTAATGTTGCCCATTATTCAATTAGGGGTATAATTATACAGGGTGGAACTTAAATATCTCCCCTATCTGTGACGCTATGGAAAAACTCTTGGGGACAAAGAAACACTGTTTAATATATTCGCGAATGTGTCGCGAAAGTTTTCCTAATTTAAAATTGAAATAATTTCAATTTTAATGTATATAATCCTTAAGACACCGTTGTAACAGATTAATCGGGATAACAGGGAAGAGGAATCCAAGAAAAATGGGATATTAAGTTTATCCTGTCATTCAATTAGAGCGTGGAGATATGTCATTAAAGAGAAACTAGCGTTGGCAGTTGCAGCTGTAATGCATCCAATTAACACGAAACTCGCGTCTCACCAAATATTCCTGATCCCAGAAACCTCTGTGTAAAGCCGAAACCGAGCAGTTCGTCGAGTGTCTGATCGCGAACGGGCTTATTCCACTTGTCGCGCAGACGAGCTTTTGCCAGACACCAAAAAATCCCCGCGCGCTGCTAGCCGTCCATTCGACCCTCAAAACGGTACGAATTTTTAGGGATTTCGTAAATATCGACGTTCCTTTCCTTGCGATCTCTTTATAAAAAGAATTGAAATACCTGCGCCATCGAAGAATCGCGAAAAATCTGATCATTTTGCATTTTATACTTATTTTCATGGAGTCATTGCATTGGGATATGCAATGTCATTCTTCGCAAACGTGCAATCTTTGCGTGTATTCGTTTTACAGTATACTGAACTGAAAATTTAATTCTTTGCACTCGAGAAGCAATCTTCTGTCGCCATTTAATAAAATTCTGGAGACCGGTGTTAATTGATATGTCAAATTTAAGGTATCATAACGAAACGAGAAATATCGGAATAAAATAATTCTACGTGTTAATTTGTACACAATTCTTCATTCATTATTTTGAAAAATAACCTCGAGTTTATGACAGAAGATCTTCGAATTGCTATTTTTCTTAACGATGAAACTTTTGAGTGCAGAGGGTTAAAATTCCATATATAATAGGTCGTATCGATGTGTAATATTGGAAGAATAGGTGCAGTGAGAATAGAGCTTTCTTTTTTTAAAATAATATTTTTAATTAGGATATAACTCACTATACGATGCGCAACTCTTATGATCAACTCATGACTAGCTAGCCGCTGTCAAACGACTATCTTATGATACCCTCTTTTGATATTTACTTTCTTCTTTGATATTCTTGATCTAATCCCTTGACGTCCCTTTTTATACCCATGTACATCACATATTCATACCACACACTGCAAAGTATCCAAAAATTCCACGTTCATTAGGGATTCGTTCATTCTTCTCACGCTACTGATAGCCTAATTTAATAGCCTCGTCAATCGGTTCACAATCCTTTCACGAATACCATAATACCTTCTCTGAGATTAGTATATTCCAGTTGAATAGTGTCACTTCGTGACAATAATCCTCAGATAAATACATATTCATTTCTACATACTGCCAAGCGTCCAAAAATTCCACTTTCATTCTAGGAACTCCTTCACTCTTCTCGCGCTACTGATAGCCTAATTTAATCACCCTCTCGATCCACTATCCTATCGTTCTAAACACTCATCAATCGACTGTCAATCCCTTCACGAATACCATAATACCTTCCCTGAGATTAGTATATCTCACTCGAATAGTGTCACTTCGTGTCAAAAATCCTCAGATAAATACACACTCATGCTACACACTGCCAAGGGTCCAAAAATTCCACGCATTCTAGAAACTCGTTCATACTTCTCGCGCTACTGGTAGCCTAATTTAATAGTCTCATCAATCGACTGTCAATTCCTCCACGAATACCGCAGTACCTTCGCTGAGATTAGTATATTCCAGTCGACTAGTGTCACTTCGTATCAATAATCCTCACATAAATAATCGACGAATTGCAGCTCACCATCTTCCTTACCAACAATACCAACAAGCATATATTTCTCCAGATAATTCAGCACAGCTAGAAGTTGCCAAGTCTCCTAAATATCCATTTAACCTACAACCTTACAGACCACACACTCTCCTGGGAACCCGATGTTCGCGACCCCGATCGGCTTGACATATCGTTGAATTGCGAACAATTTCGCAAACAATAATTGCGATACGAAAGGACACGTTGCTATCTAGAAGCTGCCAAGTTGAGACAGACGGTGGATGAAGCTCGATCACGCGAGTCGTTCGGTATCGCGACGGGAGGCAAGTGGAACGAGCCGACTTGTTCCGTGTGATCCGGTTAAGCAGGGAAAATATTCGGATCCGACATCGAAAACGAATTCGCGTTCTCTGGCCGGGACTTTTAACGGGTTTCGCGATGACGCGAGGCGCGGGGTAACATGGAATAAGCCCCGATTCGTTAATGCCACGCGACCGCAGACAGCTCTATCGGGCTGATGCTTCGCGGTTTCGCGGATCGACAGTTCCGATATCGACGGCTACGAACGAGAAATTAAAAACAGGATACACCGTATAAAATACGTCGGGCACGGGCCAAAGCGCGCTACCGTTCGTTACACTGATATACCGGCATACCGTTCGCTGCCAATAAATTCGCCGTAACCGCGCGTTGCTACGTGGAATAACGTATTTTCGCGACTTCATTCCCGGCGAGTCGGAAAGCGAATGCTAACCGGTTCGTATTACTTTTGCGATAACTATTCCGCAGCGCCGCGGACACCGCGTGCGAATAAATTAATCGAAAATTCCAAGTCGAATACTCTTACCGCGTTTATGTCACGCGTGGAGTTGTCGATGCGTGATTAATCGACGGGACTCGTTTGCCGGCAGACTTATCGACAAGGTGCATATATTTTCTAACGCGTGATTTATTGACATTTCAGCCTGCCCTATGATAGTAATGTCCTAGTTTGCTCGCGCGTTGTCTGTCTAATTGGATTTTAACGAGCGGATTATTTCACCGGACTTTGCCGATTTTTTCGCCAATCGAGTTGGCTGAAAGTCTTTGATCGTTGCTGGAATGGAGCAACGTTGAAAGACCAATGGGTGTGTTAACTCGCACGAAAAACGGATTGACTCGGTTTGTCAGACTGTCACTCGCAGACAACTTGCACGCGAACCGAGAAATGACTGACAGAAAAAATCCGATCTTTACATTATTCTTGTTCTTGACACGGAACATGCAATTTCTAAACAAACAGTCTCCACATACTTTCAAATAAACATCAACGAGTTTCTAAAACTATCGTAGAATATTTCTTAATAACTCCTGCATTTTGTTTTGACATGTCAACAACTGTGCAATTTTTGATAAAGAGATTTTTAGCTATATCTTTTGGGACGAGTTCCCCCTTTAAACTCGAGTTACTACAGCTAAGAAGAAAAAGATAGGTATCTACTGTTTTTGACTGTTCTTCAAGCCTGTCAAATTTCTTCCAAACATCTCCATGTTAGGGAAGACAAACTTATGTTAACGATGACTTAAATATTTTCAAGCTTTAGCTTGCATTAAATGACAGCACTCAGACCTAAAACTCCTAAGAAGTTAGTAATTTCGTATTTCCCAGTTTCTATTTCATCCACTAATAATCAATTTTGATCAATTTTCAAATTTTACGTTCTCGTTTTTCACGTTGGTAATCTTTTGATCTGACCAATTAACATCTTCAGCGAAAATCTGTCAATTTGCCAAACACGAAATTGCAAGTGATGGGGTTATCATGCGGTCGTTCGGGGTTGCGCGTCTTCCGGTTAGAGGAAAATGGCGTATCGGTGTAGCAGGCGTTGTTACCCCGCTGTGAGAAATTAAGTCAAAAAGCTCGTCTCGGTGAGCGCAAGGCAGATGTTGACGTTTATCGGCTACTTTTATCGAGCGTGTGCCAACCGCGAACTGCACACCGTGATAGTTTAACCGAGCTTTAAAAATATCGCGGACACCGCGACCGGTTCCTGAACTCTTTCGCGGAGACATTTCGAAGTCGCGCAAGCCGTAAATATTTGCGAGCGCGTCTAAATTAGGTGAAGGAAAACACGGGTCGATGGAAATATCGGGCAAAAATCTTCATCGCTGGGAACAAACTCGCGGTAATTTCCGTTACTTCAATTCCATCCGTTTCTCCCTCTCTAAACACTTGCCCCTGATTATCCGGAATTTTTCATAGCGCGGAGTGGTCGATTAAATTGCACGAGCGTTAAAGGACCATCGAAACGCGAACGTTTTAGGTTATTAGCCCCGTAATGTGACCTAATCTGGCAGCTGCCGACCGAGAGCCCGCTTCGACTGCTCGAATCCACTCGGAGTTCCTCGGATGGATCAGAGCGCGGACAGGTTGCCGAACAAGGAGGAGAGTTAGAACAGATCCCGGGCGGATCGGGGCAGATTCGAAGCCGAAATGGGTCGACGCGACGCAGGATTCTGGCCATTAAACGGTAATCGCTGTTGTTTCAATTCGCCGCAACAGGGATCCCGCGAATCTTTCGCGCAAATATTGACGGGACAAAAATACGGAGCGAATGGGAAAAATAGAGGAAAAAGGGGAAGGGAAAAGAGGAGGAAAAAATTGGAACTTTCATCGGCCGAAGCGTGAAACGCGCCGGGCTTTGATTCCGACCCCGGGAAGAGGGTGAAAACAACGGGTATTCGCGAAAGCCAAACCGAGTTTCATCGCGCGGATGCGTAGCTATGGTCCATTTAAATATCACTGACCGAACCCGGCACGAAATAAAACCACTCGATCGCGCTCGCTTTATTTTTCCACCCGTACTCCCGCGACAAAAATCGTTTACAATTTGCTCTGTGGCGTCTGTCGCGATCAAACTTGATTCGCTTCCCCTCTCCTAACCCGTTAACTATCCTAAGTATTTCTGCAATTACGGAATTATGGACACGTGGAAACACCAGGTGGCGCGCTGCTCGTCGCGTAGCGTTCTTTCCAGTTGGGTTGGTCCCGGTTCTCCTCGGTCTATGACCGTTGCACGATCGTCCACGAGGCAAGTGGCTATTTATCACGTGCCCGATTTATCACCCGATATTTGCATCGCACGGTAGAACGGAGAACGTAATAAAGGATAAGTCGATTTAATTAGAACCGATACCTGGTCGTGTCTGATCGATTGATCAGATACACTCGCGGACCTCGCGCGTCTGGTGTCTGTCAATCGAAATTCAGACAGCTCGACTAACGCGATTGCCTCTGATCGTAAATAAAGTTTCGAGAACGAAAAATACGAGATAAGAAGGAGGAAAACAGGCAATTCGTCGATCAGAGATCCGTTCGAAGAGGTGACGTGGGTAAAATGAAGATTCTGTTGACGTAGAATATTTATTTGTCACGGCTACTGTAATGGGACTAGGTTCTGCGTAATGTCTATCGCGACTGCTCCGGGGACTGACGCCTTCTTGGTGACAGCCTTCCCGAAGGATGAAAAGTGAGGTTAGGACGCACAGTGGAGGAAAGCCGTGACTCGCGCGATTTATTTATTACTCGTTTGCTACGGGCCCAAAACGGTTAGGCCCGTAGCTGGTGAAGGCTTTGTCTAGGAAATTAGGTGTGTCCCTACAGGTTTATCGAATGGCGCGCGAGTTGGCTGCACGCGAGGCCGATACTCGGACTAGTTAGCATCTCCGATAGGAATTAACGGCTAATTAACGACTTACCATCAGCATAGATTCCCAGGCCATCCACCTGATCGGCAATGGAGGTCGGCCCTCGACCCGGAAGTAGTCGGCTGCGTAGGCGTTCCTTCCGGAGCCCAGGTCCGATACTTTCACCCAAAAACCGCGGCTCACCAGGCAGTTTCTACGACAAACCCATAAAACGTTCCATTCGTATATAACCACACTTTTCTCCTTCCACTTTCATATTTTTTTCCTCCTCTTTCCCCCTCTTCCTCTCTTTTTCACCATTCCCTACGACAGCTGGCGCAGTAGCGGCTACAGTCGCCGATGCTTTTCAGCTGACCCACATTAGCGGCGCTAACTTTTTCAATATTCAGTACTCGGGATATTCGCTGGTCGAAAAAGAGTCTCGTTTTATTTCCCCGCTGCTCGTCCTTTTGTTTCCCCAACCAGCCGCATAGCGGTCCTCTCCCATTCGAGCCAACGGTTCTTTTATCCGCCATAGAGCCTCCCCGCGTCACGAGAGGACACACTGGACTTCGGCAGATAATCCGTCTTCGAGGCCGAGTGGATTATTCCGCTCTCCCCTATCCAGACACTCGAACACAGGCGAACGTATCGTCGCCAATCCGGCTGCGAGGATTGTTTACGACCTTCAGGCTGGATCAACGCTGGATCACCAAGCAGGACGCGCTACTCCGAGCATCCATACGCGTTGCACGCTGCTTGCCACAGTGATCTGTCTTAAAGCTCGCGATGCAGATGCCACCGTATGATACATTTTCGAATATTCCATGTTTCTTTTAAATTGGTTTATGGAAGTAGGGAGAGTGCTAAAATTGGCAGCTGTTTGACAGTTGAATTACCAGGTTAGACGTAGGCATAGAAATATGCAGCTGGTTCTTGATAAGATTTTAATCGTGATCTTATATGCACGTGATATTTAGGTTACATATAGTCAGTTGATATTTCTAGTTAAAGATTTAACTGTTTTGGAGGTTAGGAAGAGGAACGCAAATGTCACGTGTTGTTTGGTGAACCTTGGAACAATGGATATAATTACAGTGGAGGTTAGGGTCTAGTAGCTTCATTAGGATTTTAATAAACAATTTTTTTGATACTGATTGTATTTAGTGATCGAGTGACTTTTGATAAAGGATTTTTAGGATTGAGGAAGCTTTAGGTTATGAGACACTCGACCATTTGCACTTCAATTTTAGTCCCCTGTTGAAAATAATACGATGCATTGAATATCGGAATAAAATAATTCTGCGCAGTAATTTATACGCGATTTCTCTCTATATAGATATAAAAATATATAGTCTTCTTTATAGCTTCTCTCTTGCTGCGAAAAAGTCTTCAAATCCAAAGGGTTAATTGCTCCAAGAACTTCGACCTGATCGAAGCTATCACGTATCCTGATGTCAAAAACAATTAACCCTTTGCGCTTGACAATTTATTCGTTACAGAAAATTAGTAATTCGAAGATTCTCTGCTATAAAGTCAATGATGACGTACAAATTAAGACGTAGAATTATTTTACTTACTACGCGTCGTTGGGTAATTTAAAATTTGATGTATTAATTAACCCTTTGCACTCGAGAGGCACCCTTCAGTCGCTATTTGATAAAATTTCGAAGCACGATATTAATTAATATATAAAATTAAAAATAATATAAGAGTGTGCGAGGTATCGAAATTAAATATTTCTACAATGTGTTATTTACTGCTCAAAAAACATCATCTTTATAGCAGAAAATTTTTCAGCTCGTACCCTTCTTTACCCAAAAAATCGTCGAGTGCAAAGGGTTAATTAACACGGGTCATTAGTATCTGATTAAATGGCGACTCTCGGGTGCAAAGGGTAAAACGTTACTGCTAAGAACCTTGTATGTTTCCTGCATAAGACCTCGAGACCTAAACGAGCGCCTGATCTCGCGTCTCGATCCACGTAACCGCGAAGAAATCAATGATTGCAATGAACCTACACGGTTCCTCTTCCATCGATCAGCGATCGACAGTTGCAAGACGCTCGGTTAAATAGTTAATTCTAAATCGCAAGCACCGTGCATCACGGAATAACACGAGCAAGCTGCATGTAAAACCGATAAATATTTCCGACGCTTCCCACGGTACGGAGGTTTAAACCACGACGTAAATAAACGGAAAGCTAGCTTCCGGCAAGCCCGTTAAATTTAACAAGAAACCGCCACCGGAAACGTCTTCCCCCGTGACACGTGGCGAATCGACGATGCGAAGCGAACTTACCACCGCGCTGTCATTATCCCCTAATTACCTAACATACTTCATCCTAATCCGTTAAACAATTTCTCCCAGCTGTACCCTCAACGTCGCTGACTTGGTCTCGATATTCCCGCGAATCTGCTTTTCTTCCACTCTTTTTCACTCCGGTATTTACAAGCTAATTAGCGCTTCCGATGGGGAACGGGGGGGAGGGGGCGAGGAAGATTAAAGCACCGAAAAGCCGGTAAACGATAGCTCGAGGTAAAACCGTTTTCAAGGCAGTCCTCTTCTCTCCGGCGCCGTCACTCGCGCGTTTTCGCGCGTTCTGAAGCCTCGTCTGACGACGATGCACTCTGGAGGACCGCGTCGAAAGGGGTGCAGCTTTTAAGCAACTCGCTACCACCGGAACCCCGACTTCTGTCAAGAACCACGATCGTTTCGCGCCGATTCCGAGCCGAGACTCTGTCCGTTTATCGCGCGGTCGTCGAACCGAGAAGAGGTTTAGTGGCCGCCACTCAGGCATTCGTTCTCGTCTGTGACACGAAATGGCGGCGATCCTCGAGCCACCGCGCCTAGATCCCGAGCATGTCCCCTCGCTTCGTGCTTCGACGCCCTAATCACCATACTCGTGGTTCACCGCGAGATTTCCGATTAATACCTTCCCGAAAGACACCCTGGCAGGGAAATATTTTCCGAGTGCCACGGGATCCAGGAATAATTGAGAATGGCGCGGGAAGATTGACGTTGATGGACCATGAGCATGTTAATGACGCGTTATCTATGTTAATGAGCTTTTGTAAGCCGGTTTCAAACGGGATTACCGGAATATTTTGGACTCGCCGCGGGGCAATGTAACTCGGTTATGTGTATGCCTTTAGAATTATTCGGTACATCCGGTCGTCATAGTATTTTGCATGCTCTTGTACATCTAACGACATATTTTCAAAGTTCAAAAGCGCAATTGAATTTGAAAATATTCTTAGTACATGATTCCTGATACGAGAGATGTAATTGTAATGTAAATTGAGCGTATATCGGGTGTCTTCCAAGTCAGGAAAGCAGGAGGAACCCTTGGAATAATTCGGTACATTCGGTCGTCATAGTATTCTGCATGCTCTTGTACATCTATCGACATATTTTCAAAGTCCAAAAGCGTAATTGAATTTGAAAATATTCTTAATATCCAATTTCTGATACGAGAGATATTAATCTAAGTTGAGCGTATATCGGGTGTCTTCCAAGTCGGGAAAAGGAGAGGAACTCTTGGAATAATTCGGTACATTCGGTCGTCATAGTATTCTGCATGCTCTTGTGCATCTATCGACATATTTTCAAAGTCCAAAAGCGTAATTGAATTTGAAAATATTTTTAATACACGATTCCTGACATGAGAGATTTTAATGTAAGTTGAGTGTATATCGGGTGTCTTCCAAGTCGGGAAAAGGGGAGGAACTCTTGGAATAATTCGGTACATTCTGTAGTCATAGTATTCTGCATACTCCTGTGCATCTATCGACATATTTTTAAAATCCAAAAGAGTATCTGAATTTGGAAATATCCTTAGTATACCATTCCTGACACGAGAGATTTTAATGTAAATTGAGCTTATATCGGGAGTCTTCCAAATCGGGAAAAGGGGAAGAACCCATAGAATAATTCGGTACATTCGGTCGTCATAGTATTCTGCATGCTCTTGTGCATCTATCGACATATTTTTAAAATCCAAAAGAGTATCTGAATTTGGAAATATCCTTAGTATACCATTCCTGATACGAGAGATTTTAATGTAAGTTGAGCGTATATCGGGTGTCTTCCAAGTCGGGAAAAGGGGAGGAACTCTTGGAATAATTCGGTACATTCTGTAGTCATAGTATTCTCCATGTTCTTGTACATCTATCGACATATTTTTAAACTCCGAAAGAGTATTTGAATTTCGAAATATTCTGAGTACACGATTTCTAATTTGAGAGATTTTAATGTAAATTGAGCGTGTATACTTTGTGCATCCAAGTTCGTGCAAACGGGGACATTCGAGTGCCTTCCTCGTCGGGAAAGTGGGAGGAAAAAATGGCAGCGAAGGCAGGAAGATTGGATAAACGACTGGGAAGTATATTTTTCATCCGCCGTTCCGTTCGCCACCGGTTGGTCGCTTATTGAGCGTGCTCGCGCCGCTGAAAACTCGTTTCTATAAATCAACGGGCAATTAATTTCATCCGCCACAGGCCGCGCGCGCGTTCCGCGTTTATGCGACGGCCGCGCCTCGAGCCATTGTAATTAAAGTTTATGATTAGAGTTAATAATTCGAACACGTGACCCAGCCATCCTCCGGTCCACTTGCTCCATTTTAACGGCCCTGCCACGCAGAACGTCCCGTCGAGTTGCCAGCGGTGTCGACGTCCGCGTCGATTTCCTCGTCGAAGCGGGGCCTCGAGGACCTCGGCTAGAGATCGGCTGAGTCGTAACTCGAGAAACTTCCTCCTTAAAATGCCATCAGGAAGTGACGACGTGACGCTGGCGTCCAACAGCGTCGAAAGGAAGTTGAGATCAAAGAAAGCGTTAGTCACGGGAATAATTGGTCCATTTGTCGCCATCTGTGGCCTCCCCTAGATTTATACATTGATGACTTCTTCTTTGACGAAGCATCTATTTGTTTAATATCTTTAGGAGTCTTCGATTTAGCTTATTTCTTATCTCCAAGGAGCAACGGGACTCTTTAATAAAGGAATCGACGTGTATTCGTGATCTAGAGTGATACACTGCACCGCCATTTGTAAATCCAGCGTGTCATGGTACCTTTTCTTCCCCGAGTACCGCCATTTTCTTTAAGTAAAGCACGCGATACTTACCGGTAAAAGTGGAAGTTACGAGATTTGCAAGAGTCGAGCAACGGTCACCGAGTATATTCGTGGAAAGTTCATTAACCGGCGCAACTCGAGAGCCTTAAGCTCCGCGTGCATTAGCAGTCAGACGTTGGAACTCTGGTCGATCGTTAGCATTCGACGGAACACGTGACAAAACTATGGCCACAGTTTTGCTGCGACTAGCAAGCCCGGGAAGTTTGCCTCGGACAGTAAGTACGGCGATCGACCGCGCTGCTTGCCAAACAAAAGTGGCACTCCGATGGTGGAGACCCGGTAGAAAACGCGTTTGCCCTGGCACGGGCAGAGAGCAACGGTGGCCAGGACCGTCGAAGAGGAATGACTGATCGACCAAGTTCGTCTTAAAGTAATCTACGAGAAACTGTCTGTCGTTACCTTGTGGCGAGATCCCGATGCACGAAGTCCATTTCCTCGAGGTGTTTCATGCCGGATGCTATTTGCGTGGCCATGTAAACCAACGTGCCGAAACTGCAACACGAAGAACGAGGTGGTTCCGTTCAGAAGTTCGCATCCGCGGGAAACTCCGGCTTCGTGTACGTGGCCGCGTGCACACGTTCAACCCGGGCGTCCCGTACACGAAGCCAGCGTCGTTCCTATCGGCTGGCAATACCGCAAATGACGACGCTTTTAAAGCACGGACCAACGCGTCGGCCATTTGCATTAACGACGAAAGCCGGCCGGACCGAGCGCCTCTGCTTCTGTCCGCCATTTTCTTCTCTTTTCTCGTTATCCGCCGTTTCAGGCGCGGATGGAGACTGTAGGTGGCTGGCAAGTCGAGAGGAATGTGGATCTGATTAGTCATAGCGTAATAGGTCCACCTTCTCCGGCACAATCGTAAAGATAAGTCACGTGAATTTTCGTTATTGACCGGACGTGTCACTTCTATAAATAGGATTATATGGGGCCCCGTGACAGGGGGCAGTGAACGCGAGACGTAACATTGGCGTAGACTATTTAACCCTTTGCACTCGAAGACTTCCTTTTTTTACGACGATATTTTTCGAAATATTTTGTATTAATTATATTTAAATTATTAAAGTATGTCGACTGCAAAGGTTAATATAGGTTAGGAAGAATTCTGACGTGACTTATTCCGTTATAAAGATGGCCGCCAATTTACCAGCAACGTACAGTGTCTTCTCCATTTTTCTTTAACCTCTTCAGGGATGAATCTTTTAACACTGGAACTACCGATCTTTACTGGGCATCTAACCATAACGTGCCCAGATTATAGTAATTTTCAGCGGTACGATGAATACGAGTGAATACATTGATTACAATTCTTTCTTAATACGAGTTGACACCAATTTTATTCTTAAAGCAGGTGTGTATGTGTTCGGTGATTGCAAAAAGGAAAATTCTGGGACCAGTCATTTTCACTGGGTTGCTAGTTCTAGTGTTAAATTTATGATGGTTTCAAAGCAGCGATTATAAAGTAGAATAAACCATTCACAGATTTTTCTTTTTATCGTTGAGGAATTCCATAGCGAATAATCGGTTCTCCAATCGATTTTAATTTTCTTTCCACTCGTAATAATTATAATTCGAAAAAAGCTAAACGTACACGTATCCTGCGTGTTTTTATTTCGTAATCTCGTTATTGTCGGTTATTTTCTCGAGGATTCGCGATTTCAAGTTTCTAACCACGGATAGTATAGATGAACCGAGAGAAATATTCATTCGTTGGTACACATATGCGCGAATCCCGTTTCCGGTTCACACTTTCGCGCTCGCCCGCGGATTACGCGGTCGAGCAGATTTATTTTCGGTCTCCGCGTGGCCGCGTGAATGGAAAAACGACTGGGCCATCCGCGATGGAATTCGCCATTTTCCATTGCATCGCGAGTCTTTCGCGCTCTTTCTTACCGACACTTCCGGTGATGTTCATCCCCTTTACACTCGCGGGACGAAGTTATCGAGCTTCCTCGCGAGACGCGAGCAGAGAAATATTTGTTAAAGGGTCGATCGATAGGGAAATTTGCCACGACCCCCGTAGATCGATACGGTTCGCCGTCCCTGAACGAAGACAAAGGGTGAACGAGCTCTATCGGTCGTTTCTCTTGCAGCAGCTACCGGAAACGAACGCACGGGAAAAACACGGCCGGCCGACAGCTGTCACGAGCATCGATGATCTTCTCTGTCGTTCACCTCTCATTTTCAGCCGATTTCTCGTATTTCCAGCACTTCCCAGCGATCAGCGGATTGCACGCGCGCGCGCGAGACCAACGTGATTGGAATTGACGTACCCGGGGACGATCGAGTCGAAAAAATTGGACTCGTGCGTCCAACTATGACGACTATGGCGATCGGTGAATCGCTTTTATGGTGCCATTCGATTACGACGATATTTCGAATTTGTTCTCCTATACCTGGACATTACGGTCTTTCTTACAATTGTTAAATTAACACGTTGACTGCCATGGGGGTCACCGGTGACGCGACCATTAGTAAAAATACATAATTAGAGTAAATATCGATACTGATAAATTTTTAAATAGTACCATTGTTACTATAATGGTTCGAAGAAATTAATGCCATACAGAACATGCGAAAATAATTTTATTTATACAAAGAAAAGGTGAACCAAAACAGTCGGCACAATATGTCACTTTTTTAGTACAATTCTTTGCTTTCATTCTTCCTAGCCGATTTGAATTATTTTCATAGCACGCTTTCCAAAATCGCCTTACACTTCGCACACTTCCAGGTTTCTTTTTAAATTCGCGACGACGTTTTTTCTGTACGTAATTGCTCGATGAAATGCAATCTTCGTGATCAGAACATTTCGCTAAATACATCGCTAACTTCGTCCTAAAATCGGGAATTGAAATATTTTTTCGAGTTGCTTTTTAAACAATTGATAATGGCAAAAATGGTCTACAGCGCCTGACCCCTGCCACGAAAAATACATTAAACGCGATTATACAACTCACCTTATCTGTTGTAAATAATATTTCAACGTAATATGCATCGCGAAAAAAAATATTCATGTTCGCGCCATGGGAAAACCACGTAAAATACGCGTGGCAGTCAACGTGTTAATTTCTTTTTATCTAATATTACAAATATTTTCTGCGCGTAATTTCGTATCGCGATAGAACACTGTGCGTATAGATTTTGTAATAAAACATACGAATTATATTTGCACGTCGATTAATAGCGGAAGTAACGAAAAAGAATTATTCCATTCGTCTCTGCCAAAGAGAGCCGGTAACGATATCTATTAAAACCATAAATGCAAATAATAGAATAAAATTTCCATGCTTCTGCCATTGAACGTACAGAGAAGAAGACGTAAAATCGAATTTTAATCACGTGCATGCATTATTCGGATAGAAAAGTAAAAGCCCGTATTACCTCTACGTCTCGTCTGGTTCATCCCCTACCGATTATCATCGAGACATCGTAATTAGCCATACCTGAGGGTCTTAGCAGTGTGCACGGTGGACGTTTCAGCGATGTGGCTCTGCAGATATTGATTCAAATCCCCGTACTCGCCGTTTTCCAATACGATGCACATGGGGTCGTCTTCGAGGCTGGCGCCGAGTAGCCGCGCGACATTCCGATCGGCCAGCCGTGCCAGCCTTTTTGCCTCCTGTTGAAATTCTATCCTGAAAAATACACGGGACACTCGGAAGTAATATCTTTATAGTCGGCTGCCCTACCAACCGGTCGGCTATTGAATACGGACGCACGGATGTACCGGAAATAATGCGAGCACTCTGTCTGAGTATCGCGTCGCTCTACTACTGCCTCTCGCTCCGTCCCCCTTCCTCCCACTCGCATCTCCGGCAAGGAAAAGAGACGAGAGAAAACAAGGGAAGAATGGAAGAGGGATTGCAGCCGGCTGGACCTACGTAACACGGGCCAGGGATAATGGCCACTGCCGAGATTATCGTTTGAAGAACGCTCGCGAGTTCCATGTTCGCGTCTCGGACGTCTAATATCCGCGAAGCTGACGTTCCTGAACCTGTATACCACGGTCGTCGTGAAGCCTTCGCGAATCGACCTCAGGGCTTCGTGTACACCTCGCGGAAGGTTAGCGAATTTATGCCCGATGTTCATTCGGATAAAGTTAACTTGGCGAGTTTCTAGTTTAGAATTTCTAGTAATTATGGCGGTCGTTAGTCGGTGCTGCGCGATGTCCGGGCCGGTTGCGCCGGCTTTTAATTAATAAATCCCGCGATTCGGGCTAATCTCGCGCGACAAAGAAGTTCCCGATTAACGCCGCGGGGGCAGAGGTCAACATCGCGCGCGGAAACGCGTCCCTCCGGGGGTCAATTTTCCGAAGAAATTCTCAAAGTTTCTCACCGACGCAGGATAAATCGTAATTTTGGAAAATTCGAACGACTCTCTCTTCGAAAAGTCGAAGAAAATTCCCCGGATCGTTCGAGCAAACGATGACAGGTTTTACAGTTTCTCGCCCTCTGGAGGAAGATGTCGGAACTGCGATTGAAGACGCGGTAGACGTCACGGTGTTCTTCCTCCTTCGCCTTTATCGTCACGATTCTACCCATTTCCCGAGCTTCCGCGACGCTGGCTCTGTCTCGCGAACGAGGAATAAACGCGGTACGTCTGCACTTCCGGTGTCCCGTTAAGAGGCCGCTCCGCGAACGTTCAGCCGGCCCTGTAATCCCCGATCCTGTCCACCCGGATCATCCTCTCCGCCAGCGATAACGCGTCGCCTGTTCCTCGCCAGGACACGCTTTATCGCGCACTTCCGGCTTCGAACCTCGACGGCAAGTCGACCGACTTCCAACCAAGTGAGCCAAGTTTAATGGAAAACTTTCTTTCCCCCTATGTGTCTCGGCTTCCATTCAATCCACTACTTCAATGTGCTTTAATTACCCCTCGAACCCGACGTATTTAAGATATTAGCTGCCACGTGGATTCGACGATTCCGGTTAAAAGCCACTTGTTAAAGCCATCTTATTTCGTGGATTTTTGGATCGATTTAAATTAATAGTCGTAGAGGGTTTTAATCTTAGAGTTTGACAGAAGTTTGGTCTCGGTACCGGGAATTTTGAATTTCTAACACTCGAGAGTCCAAAGAGAGGACAAATATGAAATGCAACAAAGTCGAAACGGGGATGAAGACTGATCTCGGTCAGATTTCTTCTCGGAGCCCGCGCGTGCAAATTGTTCGATAAGCGCCGAAGCTGGCAAAAACTGGAGTCGGCTTTGTGTGCATCGAAAACGTTTAAACTCGGTTATTAAAACGCCGGCCGAGACACGGGCGGATTTAAACAATTTCCTCGTGGGTTCGGGCAGCGTGCCGGCGTAGGTACCGGGTCAAAGGGAAACTTCTATACGGTAAATTACCAGGCTATTGTCAATCGCGGCCAACGAGCCGGACAGTTTTAGGAGCCGTTAAAGGCCGACCGTTGGCGAAAAGTAGCAACGGCCCGGGCACAAGTTATTCGATTATGCGCCAGTCACTGACCGTTTAAACACTTTCTCTGCATTACCGCGTCGCGGCAACTTAATACACGAGCCACGTCATTATGTACGAAATCACTTTGCGCCCCGTTTATCGAATTATCGCGTTAACGCCGTCGCGCCCCTCGCGCCCTTCTCGATATAATCGATTGGGATAATTTTCTATCGATGCCCTATATTTCAAACCCGGTGGCCTCTAGGCACAGGGGACGAGGGGTGGCCTGCACGTGGTAGCCGGATAATAAATGAATCAGAGTAACGGTCTATAATCCAGCCCGGATAATTTTCTCCCGGGTTATCCTCTATACTTTCCATATTTTCGGTGCACCCCCGGTGTGAAATATCGGCCGCTTTAATAGTTCCGGGCCATCAGTGTTTAGAGAACTTATACCAGTGGCCCAATAAACGCGTTCTTCCCATTCGCTCCTATCGGCAAATTTAATTACGGCCGCGGAGTGCTCCATCGATTCTCGATCTCCGCGCGAGACGCCCTTGTTTCGTTCCAGAAGAAATTACCCCTCCCGATAGATCCCCCCTCCAGTCAGGGGCGGGAAAAATCCTCGCGGACCGAAAGGTTTGTTCGTTCTCTAGACGCGAGCCGATAACTCGCTTTCCGTACGAAATACCCTTAATAATTTCCTGCTCGTTCCACGGCATCCGGCGAGCATCGGGGTTATGCTTGTTTCCCTGTATTTTTTCTTCCCCGTCCCGCGCCCTCTCTCTTCCCGCCGCTTTTCACCCCGGAGGAAGGTAAACGCGCGCAGAGGGTCGGATCGTTGGCTTGTTTGTCGATAACAGCCTCCGATAACCTGTTTTCATTCACGCGCTGTAACAACCGTTGTACGCGCCGCGCACGCGACAAACTATTACTCAATTATTACTCTGTTATTGACACGACGGCAATTTATTGCGCTGCACCGAGATACATTTCGGGACCAATGCCTCTCTACGCTAGGTCCTGCCAAAGTTGTCAATTTTCGCGCGTCCGTCCGATTTACGCCGGAAACCTTCGGCTAGAAGTATTAAAATTTTTCCAGCGTATATGTAGGATATTTTTAAGATTTATCAGGGTACGATGGTCGAAGTGTTCCTGTAGCAAACACTTCGCCAGGTTTAGAGGACCCATAAGGATCTGGCTGTCAGGTGGGTCGTGGGAGGTCGGGACTAGGTCACGTGATGCGGCTTCGCGCAATCCCGGCTTCCCCCGTCGTAAACCGAGGGTGACCCTTCGCAAGGCCCAACCCGGAAGAAGGAGTCTCCTTCACCTCGGATTTTGACGTGGAGGGAGTTTTCTCCTCCTTCGGGGGAGACGCTGGATGGCTTCAGGATGGACTTAAAAGAGTACGTTCTAGAAGATAGAGGCAGTCTTTAACCCCAGCTGTCTTTGAACCGAATAAAAACCCCTAAAATCGATCACGATTCAGTTCCAGTCTACTGCTGATCTATCTAATTTTCTCCATTTGAAAATTCTCCAAATGAAAATTCACGCGAGAAGTGATTTTGACAGAAAACACAGGTTTTTAATTAAAAATTGTAAATATTGCTCATCAGTGAATGAAAATCAGTCTAGCGCTCCATTTTTAAGTCCTTCTCGTGCCATTTAGCTCCACGAAATCCAGGCCCAAACGACAGACGTTAACGCGTGGTAAACAGACTACATTGATGCTCGGGAACAGTCGCAATATGAGTCAAAATGTAAATACGTGTGATACCATATTGTGGAAGTAAACTCTAATCCTTTTTCCTTTTATAAATATTACAAATATGTTATATTTTGTAATAGATGACAGTTTCGAAACGATATTTAGGAAAATGTTCCGTTCACGTGTCTGACTCGTGATATTCATGTTCGACCCAATATCTTCGTCACGAGTCAGACTCGTCAAAATACGGATGGGATTGAGAGTTTTTCTAAGAGTTGTTGTTTTTAAGAGTTCGAGAGATAGTTGTTGAAGCAGTCGTTAGTTGTTAAGATTCAGCGAGTGATCGGTTAGAGTCGAGATCGAGTCAGTTCCAGTTCCTAGCGAAATTTTTAGCCAGAGTATACTCTCCGGCGTAGTAGAGACTGTGACTCTACGTATATTCCAATAATTTCGTCGGTCTAAGTATTATCGGCGTGTTGTACGCCGACTTAATCCCGGGGTGGTTGAGAATTAATAGTCTTTCGCGTAGCACGAAGGAAAATTATCGTCTCACGACTTTCGAAATTATTTCCTCGGCACCGTGGAATATCCGGCTAGATGCGCGGTTCGACGACGCTCGATAATACAAGACCCTTACCTAAGCGCATCCGTGGATCCAGGTCTCAAGGACTTAACGATCACCAGGTCGCTGCTGGTGTTCCGGAAAACTTCGTCGTACCCGGGAAACCTGTCGACCTCGCAAATGTGAACATCGCCGAAGTATCCGCAGCCGAGGTTTTCAACGATGTTGAGCTTCTCCCGAGGGAAGTCTAAGATGCACTCGGGCACCTCGTCTTCCTCCTCCGTAAGCATATCCTCGGGACTGTAGCTTGTCATGCTGCTGGAGGCTTTCGCGCTCATTGGTGGCGGCGTGCTCGGTGTCGGCGATGGCGGCAGCGGTGGCAGCGAATTCTGTAATAAAAATCCGAGACACGGTAACGCTACGTTAGGAAATAGTTGCGGATTTTTCCGTTCCCGGAAAATTTTCAACCGTCGAACGTCTTCGTCGATTTTCGGGTACCGCGTTTACGCGCGTCGATCGCAAATGATCCGAATCGCGAATAGTCTGTACGATTTCGAGATTACTCGCCGGATTCGTCGTGGACGTGACCGGTATGCGGGACCAGGTGGAATGACTGCGGGAAATTAAAATACACGTGGCTGGAAGCAGCTCGTGCAATCGATAATCACTGGCCTGGCGCTATCGGCCGGTGATCGGTGTATGCCTTCGTAAGACGTTTTCCCAGAGGTCTCGCATTAGTCATGATTGATAGTCCTTTCTGGTTCCCTTGTTTTTCATCCATTAAGCTTCATTATTCTCCGCGCGGAGCGTTTTAACGTGCTCCCGTTCTACGCCGTCTTGCGATAAACTTTAAACGTTCTAATTAAAATCGGGGGAAAAAGTGGAGGATGGGAAAAACGAGCACGTGGGTGGAGTACGAGAAATTAATCACGACGTTGATTTCTTTTTCCAGCGCAGCGAGATAAGTGGCCTGAAAACTGACCGCGCGAGCCCGCGGACGAAAACAACGAGGCGCTAAGAGGATTCATTGGACAAGCTCGTGGTGCTGGACTCGCGAAAGGGAAACGACTGTGGAGTAGCTGCCACGATGGCGACGTAAGATCCCGAAGTCACGAACCGGTGTTTGACACAGTTCCAAGCCCGAAGTGGCCCGCATTAATGCCCCCGACTCTCTCTGGTAACCCTCTGGTAACCACCTCTCGCGGCCAGGACTAATCGTCACGGATCGCATGTCTGCCGTACATTTTTGATACTCACCTTACAGATCTCCGTGCTGGCGTAATACTTTTCCGGTGGCGGCGGTATGGGCGGCGGATTAGATGGATATTCTTGAACCGGCGGAATTGGCCTGGCAAGATTGATCGCCGTGTTCAGCAACAGCGGAATAACCGGCTGCACCTCCGTGATCCCTGTCCGCCGATACCGTGAGCGGAAAGGAAAAAAGAATTTTTGACAAGGTTAGAGACACGATGGCCGACCTGCACGAGAGAAATTACCCTCGCGTTTCAACCCCCGCGCCGCTTGCACGTTCCTCCCGAACTTTCAAACGACCGTTTCCTTTCCTTTTTCCTTTATTTCCTCCTCTATTCTACTCTCTACCTCTATTTTATTCTCATTTCCCCTCTCTCTTTTCTTCTATTTTAGGAGATTCGCTTCGCCTCTTACAGCCAACGCTACTATAGCCATTTCTGTAACGCGGCCCGTTTTATTAGGACACGGGGATGCTTTATCCCTCGCGTTCCAAGCTGCTTTACGAGGCTCCCTTACCTCCTCGCTTCGCGATTCCACGGTTCTCCACGGTTTCCGCCGAGAGGAAGACGTACGATTTCGCGATTCGATCGATCGGATTTCGCAAAGTTCGTCCCCCTGCGCGATAATTCCAAGATAATTCCAACTCCGCGAGATTAATCGATCGGAATTTATTTTTAATTCGCTCCCGAGCTTCGCGCTAATTTTTCATAGACTCCGCTGGAACATTTCGCATCGACGAGGTAAGAGGCAAAGGGAATAATTGGTCAACTATACGAGCAACGTCGAAGCGGTCGGAAGCGGAGCAGCGAATCTGTATCCGCTGTTCAGTCGAATTCTTTTCTGCCTTTACACGGGCCTCGCGCTGGAATTAATCATCGCGAGATTACGTTCGACTTTGATTTCGAAAAAGAACGCCGCCGCGGGATGAAGTTCCGATTAAAAGTTGGATCGGAGCTTTCGACGAGTTACGCGCTTCGTCGCGATCTCTGTCAGCGTAAGCTCCGGCTCTAAGCTCCGAGAACTCCGTGATAATCCGTCGATCATTAGCCCGCGATCTAATTCGAACGCTGCACGCTCGCGTATCGCGATAGGTGTCGCGTTTATCGCGCCGGCCAATTGCTATACTCCGTGGCCGATTTTATGTAATTTCAGCGGAACGCAAACTCGATAATGCACCGCAACGCGCGGGGCCACTCGTTTCGAGTTTTCCCGTTATTAAATTACACGGGGCGCACTAACAAATATCGAAGGATAAAACGTTACCAAGACTACCGCGGAATGTTCATAAAATCGTGCATCTTTAACATGCAAATTCTCCAGCCCGGCGCATTAAACTAAATTCGCGAGTGGGTACTCGTTAACCATTTTTAATTATAGCTACTGCGGTGTTTAAACTACCTCTACCGGGAACCACAGCCTGCGATTAATGACGGGATACTTTCCGAAATATCGCGTGTAAATAAAATGGGGACGAAACGTTGCCGTGGCTAGTTAGAAATTTTAGAACTCGTCCATCTTTGATTTGCAAATACTTCGAGCACGATGCATTCCATCATTTGCAAACCGATAGTTGAGCCGTTCAAATTGATTAACTGCATAAAACAGAAAGTGAAGAAATGCAATGAGATAATGTATTGCGTTGGCAAGAAAGTAATTTCGGTTTTCATCAGTAAATAATGTGGTATCGCAGGTCGAGCATGTCATCTAGAGTGCGTGCGAAAGGACGAATGACCGTGCGCTAGGATCGTGTGGACGGGATGTTTATGAATGTGTCGAATGAAAGTGAAGAGTGTCTTTAGGAATGCGTTTGAGCGTTTGGGCTACGTGACCCGCTGAGGGTAAGATTGCAAGGAGTGCGTGGGAAAGTGTGATTGGGAAAGAGAGAATAGGTATGAAAGAGGATAGAATGTATGGTTTTAAATAGGGATGCAAGGGCGTGAGTAGGCAGTGTGTAGTATATTAGAGTTCCTAGCAGAGAGTTGTGAAGAAAGAAGTTGTTAGCTGTAATTGTGTTGTTAGTTGTAATTATATTGTTAGTTATAATCGTGTTATTAGTTGTAGTCGTAAAAGTTTAGTTGATAGATATCTATATTCGTAGTCTTTACCGTCACCGCACATTGTATATTATATTTCATGGTTAATAAATAGTAATTATATTATTTAACAGTCACCCTGTCCCTACAATAATGTTATGCTTGTTTAGTTATTATTTTGTCAATGTTAGAATGTTTTCCTTTTGAGATGTGGTAGTCGATACCTTTAGGTTGCTACTTCGTGATATTCCGTGTAATTTCGTTTATAACTGTCAGTTCACGGTCAGTCTTAACATGCAGTGCGAAAATAAGCATTTTCGACACATTTTACTTTTTTATTTTCACAAAGGCAAGAATGCGGCTGAGGCTCGCAAAGAGATACGAGAAGTTTATGGCGTTGATTGTTTAACAGAACGCACGTGTCAGAATTAGTTTAAAAAATTTCGTTCTGAAGATTTTTCACTGAAAGATACCCACAACGTTCTGGTCCACCTTCTGAGATTTACGCGCTTGGTTAAGTCTTTTGCAGATAAGGACCAGAAATTCTATGAGCGCGGGATCATGAAGTTACCAGAAAGATGGCAAAAGGTCATCGAATAGAATGGACGATATTTGACCGATTAAAGTTCATTTACTGTATAGAAAAAATTGAGTTTTATTTCACACTAAGAAACCGAAAGTACCTTCTTGCCAACCCAATATATTGTTTTTTTAAAATTCCCTTTATAATTTAAATCGAAATAAACATCGTATAATGCGTAAATACAAATGTAACTTTCATCTAACGGTATATAAAATTTATAAGGGAAAATAGCCAAAAGGTGATCGTTAGTAGTGTTACCATTTTTATGTTACTGGAAGAGCTGATCGATTTGGCAAGTGAAAAAGTAATAAATTAAAATTTGACTAAATTTTACTTGAATTCTGATAAGACGGCAGTAAAAAATTCACCGTTATCATTCGTGACTTGCTAGTGCATTCGAGTTGCATTATTGCAACGATTTACGTTGCGACCTTTGAAATAAATTATTTATTATTCAGTGGCCAACAAATTTTTCTCGTTTAATGGTGTTAATCTTAATTATCAGGGAAAGTTATTACAAATATAAAAAGTTATCACTATACCAAGTGCTTTGACACTTAAATTTAAGATCTTTCAAAAAGTGGGGTTAATCGATTCGTGCAGTGAACGGCTCAGTTATCGACTAATATTAATTACAACAACGCGAAGCACCCGCGTCTAAATCGATACCAATTTTCAATCTCCCTTGAAATATTTTTAAAAATATCACGCGATAATTTAGGTTGAAAGTTCGCGGCGAAATTTTCATAAATGCAAATGCCTCAAACTCTTCGTATTAAATTATTCTTCACTCTGTACTTATTAACTATCCTCAATTATCCCGACTTCCGGCACTTTCGAAAACAATTTGGTAATAAGTCCATCGTAAGCGAGAATTATATTTGTTGACAAAAAAGTGCAGGTAAAATGTAAAAGAGTCACGTTAAAATACCCCCGTCGAAATCGATACCGCCATAATTGCCGAAGCTGAAAAGCTACGTCCCTGACGAGCATAATTATGTTCCTCGATATTAAAAACGTTAACTAGAAGCCGTCACTCATTCTCCGTACTTTGCTCTACCCTCGTGGGCCCCGCAGTTATATCAATTTCAGCCTGAACTCGCGCGCACCTGTAGGCAAAGCCGTCTTTCTCGCCTCGCGGGTTACACGCGTATCGGCTGGGTGTATCGCGAAAATTTCGGGTATGACGTTGGACGCGAGCCGTGTCAGCGGTTAATAATTCCGGACAGCGGGACGACGGGCTGATAATCGCGAGAGCGGGCGGTGTTTGAATTAATTTAAATCGGCCTAACCGTGCATGCACGCGCAGAATTCGAAAGGCTTAAGTGTCGCACTTAACGTCGCTACCAACCGCTGTAATCCGTGATAGTTTTGTGTAGTTGCGGTGTCGTCGTGGTGTAGGCGGCCGGGTGGTACTGCGCCGGAAGCGGAGGGCAAATTGGTCCCTTGTCCTCGCCCTCCTCCTGCACGGAGACCTGCGGCCGAATATTGAGCGTTCCCGTTAATGCACCTGACATTTATGCACACGCCGCGCGTGTACACCCGCGCGGTAAAAGCGATACGCCACCGGAAACTTTCCGTCACTTCGTCCCGCCACCTCTCGCCCCACCTACGGCCCTGCATTCGGAATATTCATGGCCCAGCGGGGCGTGCTTTTTGCCCGAGCGGGCGGCGGCAACGGAGATCAACCGATCGCGTATTCTGGGCTAATGATAATTAGAAACGTTCTTCATTATCGCCGGTTTCTTACGGCTTACCTTGTCCGCGTGCTCGTCGTCGGGGGTGGCAAGAACGCGGGGCGACTCGAAAATGGGACACCTTGGGATTCGAGACTTTACGACGTGGATATATACATTCGCAATGCACACGCGAATGAAGTCGCCGTACATTCGGTGGAACGAATACTACGGCACTGACTTTTGCGGTCGCTATAGAGCGAATTGATTCTTTTTGTTGGAGAAAAATTGCTGCTGACTACGCTACTGTCTTTTGCGGTCGTTACAGAGCGAATTAACCTTTTTCGTTTGAGAAAAATTGCAGTTCCAAGTTCCAAAGTTCCAAAAGCAGTGACAGTGTTCCAATGGCAGTATATTTTATTTTTATATTATTTTTATATTAGGCTACCCGGGACACGCGCTAGGGATATTTGCTAGAGATACTTGCGTTAGGGATACTTGCTAGGGACACTTGTGCTACGCCCTAGTAAGAGCCTAAAAATGTGCCCATAATTATGAAAATGATCTAAGTCACCATTCTGAAAGAAACTAGGATTTTATTATTCATTTTGCGATGCATTCATTATAATTGCAATAAAATAAATCTATTTTCTACTATCTTCTAGAAATCTATTTTCTAAAAAGATTGAACCCTTGGATCAAATTAGCAGCTTTGCCGCAATTAATTTTATAATTTACAACGTATTTAAAGCACGAAGCTTTTAATATTTGGAAAGCAAACGATTTAGACCACTTTCATAATCAGGGGTACAACTCACCATTAGACGGACATACAGGCCCGAATTGACCTAAACTCCCACCAATACAGAAAATTTAGCGAATTTCATACATCCATCCCTAATAGACATACACCGCCAATAGAAAATCACGCAACCACCACTCACACGCCACAGCAACCAATCATCACACATCCGAATTTATAAAGGATAGCGAGGCACGAGACAAAAGTCAGTCAGAATTTGAACACGAAGTCAAACATACGACATTCGATTCAACATATTCGCTCTCTCTATTATAGTGAAATAAAAACCTAAACCTAACTTCAATTGAACGAGCTTACTTTCGTAGAAAGACGTAAGCACCATACAGATTATTTTTTCCCATAGAACAGTCGATCAAAACACTATGAAGTCGACGATATTTGTTGAAATAGTAAATAAGATCAATTATCAAGTAGGATTATATTGTTTCGATATTTCGTAGATTATTACGTTAATTTTATTTCGATAGTTAATAATAATTAACAAATATTTTTCGGATTTCGTTAAATGGCGCCTGGAGGTCGTCTCTCGAGTGCATGGGGTTGACCTGTGCGAATGTATTCAGGGGTGGAACTACCCTGGCTAACTCAGAACGAATTAATGTATAGCCTGGTGAGAATTCGAGTTCCTTTTAATACTTAAAATATCGAGGGAAAGTCAGTGTTAAATTGTTAAATTGGCAAGTGATGTATCATAGATTTCGCAGTTTCCTAGGGCAATTCTGGGGTAAGAAACCCCATCTTCCTCACTCCTAGCACCCTCGAGTTTCTTCCCATCTTTAAACTTTCCCTTGCATTTTGTAAACAATCGTTCCTTCGACACCCGTCAGCTACGCGAGTTCGAGCCATCGAGTGGCGTCTTGGGTTCCATTCGTAGAACTATCTCTTTTAGTCTCATAACCCAGAACTAGTCCAGGTCTGTATCGTAAATCGTCGGCTGGCTGAATAGCCCCCAAGTATCTCGAATCACCGTCAAAAATACGTTCGGCGTTAACGGATAATCGATGGACCAAGTTGGAATTCACTCGCAGCTAAAAATGGCGGTCGTTGCTGAGGGCTCGCGATACTTCCCGATATACCTTGGAGTCACAAAAGCGAATCGTGGTTGGAAACGAGCGAGTTAAGAGTTAACCGAAACGAAGTCGTCCGGAACACAGTGGAGATTTACTTGAATTTTATCTCCGCCACGTTTACATTCTCATTGCATATTTACACGCGAAACTGATACTCTCGTGTTATAATATACTCGATGCATAATTCATTGCAAGCCCGGCGATGTTTCTTTCCTCGTTTTTTCTCGCGCCTTTTATATTCTATCACCTGCATCAGCTTTTCCGCGACACCTGCACCCGCATCCTCGACGCGTGCACAAGGTGGGCGGATTACGCGATCTTCCCTCCGCGGGCGCGGTGATCGCGGATGGAAAGCTCGCGGGGTACGACTCGGGTGGTCGAAAATTCGATTCCGAGCGCGGGGCTTGATTTCATCGCGGAAAGCGCATCAGCACCGTCACGAGCGAAAGAACCGCAGAACCGCGGCACGCCGTGGCGTCGCTAATAATTTCATACGACGTAATTATCGGCACAATGCATCGATATGCATTCACCGCGTAATTCTCGTGAATAAAATTTAACCGTATCATCGGGTAATTATCAGTTACAGCTCACCCTGACGGATGGAGGAAATTGCATCAGAGGATATCGCGCGATGCCTCGTTCGCTCGTAATCAACCCTCGGCCGGTTTTGATCGACCGATGGCTAGAATTTGGCAGAAAAATGGCGATCGACCCAGAATTAACCTCAGCCTCGAGTAACGTATTCGTATTTATATTTTTCCATTAACGAGATTCCGAATCATCAGGATCATATACGGTTGGTGTTCGTGCTCCGCGTTCGACTCGGTCGGTAAAACAGTTTCTCCATCGACAACCGCGACTATCGTCGAAAAGAAACCGGGTAAGCCCAGGAAATTAACGTTTTCGTTACGCCACGAACAATTCTTCACCTCCTAGTAGGCTGCTTGCCTCGATATCAGGGGAGTACGTATCAACGAAGGGATCACGACGTCGCGATATAATATCCATCGATTTTTCCTTCGCTTGTCCTCGGCCTGGACCCCGCAGAAAGCGAGAAGGGCACCGCAGGCCGAGAGGATGGTGTTAATTTCCGTTTAGGAAGCGTTAGGGTGGCAGACTCGGCGAGATGCCGCGCAACCACCGTTAAGATAAGATAACCACTTAGCCATCGAGATTCTACTCGAATCTCTTTGCTCCATTCCCTCCACTTACTCTGTCTTTCTTTCCAGGTTCACCCTCTCACGTCCTCGCCGTCCCACCGACGCATTCAGCCCCGATCGGCCGCTTCTTCGTCACGTCTTCCCGTCATCTGCCTCCCTCATCGGGGCCCCTCCGTCGCGTTAGGGCTATCTACAGCCCTGTCGCGACTTCCGCCGCCCTTATGGCCGGGTATTCGAAGCCACGTCGACTGCTCGTTCGCCACGATGGCTCGATCAGCGAACCACCCGCAGCGAGTTCAAACTTGGACCACCCTCTGCGCCTTCCGCCACCCCCTACGCTCGGATATCGGGCATCTCGCGTCGGGTGGAAAACGGCGCGAGGGTACGCGCGTCTGGATTCTTTATCGAGCGGGTCGTTATGGAGGGTCGACCGTTAATTTTCCAGCCTGGCCGCTTGTTTGCTCGACGATACCCGCCATCCATCGCGGAAAACGGCCGAGAGTACGCGTGCGGTAATTGGCAACGCGGAAATCTTCGGGGCGTGCGGACGGGTCCCACGATGATCGACGAGCGCGGATGATTTGATACGCCGGCGGAAAAATTAATTACCGCCAGGCGAATCGGCGTGCAGGCATTTTCGACTGATCTTCGTTTCAGCGAAAAATAATCGAACCCCCTCGGCGTTGATTGAAAATAGCAATCGCGCGATGAACACCGCCGCTCGAAGGATCCCGCGGAATTCCGCCTCGAAAACGGATTCGTGCCTGCGTTTCCATCGGGACGACTGTGCCCGAAACGAGAAGCGAGCTTCCGATGCCTTTGGGAACGAGAAACGCCCGTGAAACACTCGCTTTGATTCCGCGCGGCAAGGTTTTATTGGTAAAACGATACGACGGGTTTATTTTTTTCCTCCCGCGCGCCGAACAACGGAATAATTTCCGCGCTCGCGAGACGCGATGGAATTATTAATATATCGTGCACGCGTGAATATGCTCGCGAATGTTATCGAAATGCCCGAAGAGTTATTACAGGGGGGTCGATCCTTCGTGCGGGGGAAAAAGAGGAAAAACCGATTTCGGTCATTGAAAAGAATTGTTCACGCAGGCACACGTGTAATTCCGAATATTTATGCACGCCGGCTGGTTAAAATAACATTACCAAAAGCTCTTTTCATCGTTTTAAATCCACTTATAACACTGAATAATGTAATTCCCCGATGCACAATGCTGAAAATTAACAACACACGCCGAACGTTAAAACGCGATATACGACCCTTATCCTTTATTATTCACGCGAAACGTTATTATAACACGGATATATTTCATTAACGAAAACATGCAGATCGCGGGGAAAAACGCGGATCGTGGATCGCGATGAAATTACGTGCATGGTAAAAATGACACGGGGTGTATATAAATCGTATCACCGAGAACGATTTCTAGATTATAAAAATAAAATCGGGCAGCTTTTATCCGCAAATACGATAGCCATCGTCTCGCCGCGTCCCTTTGCCGTGCTCCTCCAAGATATCGTCCTCGACTACTTCCCCTAAATCACCCTGTACATCGCGGACAGAGCCATAATACGCTCCCTTCCGGTCGAACAGTGTTTGCCGTGGTCGCGAGTATATCAATCGGCCGCACAAAAGGACCCCCTCGATTGATACATCCCTGACCCTTTTCGTGCACGCGGATACGTTCGATTGACCCGAAGACGCTTTTATTGGAAAATATCGTGCCCGAT